ACAAGCTAAAGTAATGCACTATCAATCTTATTATATACTGCTAACATACCAGAGTTCATTACGTCGGACAAGCTAAAGTTCGACGTAATGAACTCTGGTATGTTAGCAGTATATAATAAGATTGACAGTGCAGACAAGCTAAAGTACGACGTATTGAACTCTTGTATGTTAGAGATGTATGAGGTCCTGTTGCCGAAAGTTCAGGGAGTTATAAACAATGGTGAACGAAACATCTAAAGAGTATGAAAGAAGGTTACATGAGTTGTTAGTTAAATAGATTGAAGGACCTAACTGTACTGATGTAGATCTGATGTTGCAAGAGCAAATTTGCATTAAACTACTAATGCAGTTAGTACTATCGCTAAAAGAGAGGAAGCCAGAAAACGCACGCGAGACAGTGACGTTGGCGAGATGAATATGTAGTGACGAGTTCGAAAGTATGTGAAAAAGAAGCTAATAGAACTACTTACCACAAACAGATGGAACTGGATCAGCGCTCACCGAAAACTATAAGCATAAACTTTTCGCAGATGGATTTTTTTTAATAAGGAAACAAATCCAAATCCCTGTAAAAATGTTTTATATGTGATCAAGTTAGGTTAAATTCTTTAGGCAGAATGAGAAGCAGAAGCCAACGAAACGGAGACCAGTACGGAAGAAAATAAGTCCCGCAAAATTAGCGAAGTTATCGAGATTGTGAATCGCTGTGATTTATAACGTGTATTATAAAAGTTGTTAAGTTTAAAGTAACGAGAAACGTACTGACTGTGGAATTACTGTGCACTAAAAATTTGTATCGAGAAAGAATAAACTGGTTTAATCAAGAAAGATATTGTATTGCTGAAGTTCCTCGGAAAGAATTTCTACCGGAAATTAACAAACAAGCAGACACGTAACACTATGAATTATATTCGAAATCGTTACAATCACAGAAATACATTTTCTTTCGTATTTAACCAATTAGGAAAAAATAGACGGAGCGAAAAGCGTTCTTAATTTTACTTTTGCAATATAAAGAAAGAGCTGTAGGTAGAATATCAGTTAAGTGAAAATCAACATTTATAAATATTTTACAAACGAGCACACGAGACTTTAGAATCTAAATCTTTTAGTGGGAGCTAACTGGCTGTGTTATGGTCAATTTTTTAACCTCCGGTAGACAAATACTACTTAGATACTGAATTACAACAATAATGCTTATTGCAAAAGTCGATGAATCTGTTATATATTCTTCACGAAAATAAATCTACGAGAAGAAAATATTTCAGTAATTATAACATTTATAGCGTATATCAGCGACTGCAGAAAACCAGAGGAAATTAATTACTTGACACACTAACATACCCTTACTTGACACTGACACACTAACGTACCTTTACTTGACACTGACACACTAACGTACCTTTACTTGACGCACTAACGTACCTTTACTTGAAACACTAACGTACCTTTACTTGACACACTAAAGTACCTGCGGGCTCCTAAACTCAAGAAATAAATAGATTCTATCATACATTTATTTATTTAATACTAGTGACCTAAACCAAACAGCAGTGTTCACTACAATTCTTAGGCAACCAAACAGTGAGGGTGACTTACAATTAAATGTACTCAAAGCTGAAAGTACAGACAATGTTAAGCACGCTAATCGAAGGCCACGCCCAGTCCACCATACATATAATCTTATATCTTTAAGTTATGTTCTTTTCTAATGTAATGTTTCACTTTACACCTTGGCCACGTATGTATTTATAAGTACCATAGTCAAATAATAAAGATCTCCGCTCCAAATATGTAAGCAGTAATAATGATGCTAGCTTTACCATACCAAAAATGATAGCATAAATATAATAGTGTAATTTTAACATGTTTCTTTTCAAACGTGTTTCATATAAGATGTTGCTGCTATCCGATTCATCATATCAAGGATGCGAACATTTCTTACATAATAATAGGCTTACATAATTAGTAATGTTTGAATGAGTCATGTAGACAATGCTGGAAAGAAGAGAACTACTTTCATTTGCGGAAAGGAGAAAAAAGAACAGTTTTATAACGCAAAAATTGTCTTTATCAAGCTATATGAAATGGGTAAAATACAACCCATCGAATGTATTCAAGCGAACCAAAAAAAAGCTACTTTTTAAAAACCGCAAGCGGTAAATTCCAAAAGCATTCCATTCTAAATAAGAGTTCAAATTTATAATAAGGTATTGTTGCATATCTGCTTGTTTGTTAATTTCCACTAGAAATTCTTTCCGAAGAACTTCAGTGATACAAGTCCTTTCTTGATTAAACCAGTTTATTCTTTCTCGATACAACTTTTTTGTAATACACAGAATTTCCATGGTCACTTTAAACTTAATAACCTTTATAACACAAGCTATAAATCACAGTGATTCACACACTTTACTTACGGTACCTACCTATATCTTCAATCTATCTGCCCCCGCTGCGTTTTTCTTGTCAGGCTTATATATTAAAAAAGAGAGCAACTCGATCAGACAAGAGTTGCCAGGCAAATTCATGATGCTTCGAGAAACTCCAGCGCGCATGCTCCCAGGGTCACAGACTTCCGCTGTCGTAATAATACAAAGAAAAGCTTTGTATAGACGTGTCTGTAAAAGTTATATGTACGTTGAAATAAACCATTGTTCTCAATTATGTAAAATTATAAGTTAATAAATGGTTATGAAAACTCTAATAAAATTAAGTATGTTTGTCATACTTGAATATTAGTGTTAAAATATAATAGGCCTAACACTAATGTGTTATGACAAGTATAATTAATTATAATCATGCTCGTTAGGTAACAGATATTGATGTAATACCTGTAAATTAGTTTATGTGATTACATAAATGTAGTGTGAATAAGAATATACATTGATGTAGTACGTGCATGTTAAGGTACTTATGAGAATGGTTTTATATGTTTACGGTTAAATGAGGTAATTTGATATACTGTTTCGTCTCTGGTCTTTTGTTAATTTCCCCTTAAAAATTCTTTCAGAAGAACTTCAGCGATACAAGTCCTTTTTTAAATAAAACTAGTTTATTCTTTCTCAATACAACTTTGCAATACACTTAATTTCCACAGTCACTTTAACTTAACACACGCTATAATTCACAACGATTCACGCACTTCACTTACGACTTGACTCTATTACCTGTCTCCCTATCTCTCTGTTTGCTATCCAATTAATTGTCTAGGTTTAATTGTCGCGCTTATATACAAGAATAGATGACGTCTAGAATGAACTCGCCTCTTCAGGAACCTTCTGGATACTTATCATGTGTTACCAGGATCACGTGAATTCCTCTGTCGTAACACTGCCCCTTCCTTAGTATTGTTCGTCCCGAACAACAGCCACTTATATTAAACCAATACATAATTAAAAATAACTTAATTAAATGTACAGAATTTCTCTACGAGTGCAAGACACACACTAGCTTGAAACAGAATCGTAAATTACCCGAACCTCACCATAACTACTGTTCGCTTAACTCCGATGGATTTTCTCGACAGGCTTATGTACTAACAAAGAGGCTTTTCAAACATTCGCGGAGTTCCCCGATTATTCGAGAAATTCACCACGCATGCTTCCAGCGTCACATGACTTTCGATTTCGTAACACTATCGTTGGTTCATGTAATCTGGCAAATTCAATGAGATGCTAGCACTTGTTACGGGAATAAAGTGAAAACTTGTGAAGGCTGGGTACGTTTTAGATAGTGATAGATCTTGATAATCGAAAAATAGTTGTTGTAAAAATTCAAACACGAGATGGCCGAACAAGTGAAAATGTGTTCCAATAAGAAAAAATATGTCATAAAAGAGAATGAATAAGGTTTGTGTTTATGTTTGAATAATTTTAACGATTCCCTAAGTTTCTATTGTCGATTTTCTAGGCTTTTCCTTCTGTAATATAATCTGGTAGCGCGATGCATCAGCTCTGTAATAACTGCTCGTACGAAATAAATAAGGTTATAATCTCTTTAATGAAATTTAGATAAATCAATAAATTTCGTACAATAAGTTTATAGAGTGTTTGTTTATCACAGGAAAAATATTTAAAACAATTATGTTGTTACAAGCCTGATATTCTGATATCGTTGATTAATTGTTTTCATCTGTTTCTTACTCTTTCAATCAATGTCCGGCTGTTGTTACATGCCTGATATTATGATGTCGTTGATAAATTGTTTTCATCTGTTTCTTACTCTATCAATCAATGTCCGGCTGTTGTTACGTGCCTGATATTTTGATGTCGTTGATAAATTGTTTTCATCTGTTTCTTACTCCATCAATCAATGTCGGGCTGTTGTTGCATGCTTGATATTCTGATATCGTTGCTGAATTTTTCATCTGTTTCTTACTCTATTATTCAATGTCCGGCTGTTGTTGCATGCCTGATATTATGATGTCGTTGATAATTGTTTTCATCTGTTTCTTACTCTCTCAATCAACGTGCGGATATACTATATAAGTATATCAATTTATTAATTCAGGTTGGACCAGAGTATGAAACGGTCTATTCAACCATCCTGCACGATGATGGCCTAGAAGTATCCTGTTTAAGTCTTCGATTGCTAATAACACACGATCATTTCAGCGCTGGAAACATGAGACTTAAGTGCGAGGCGAGTATCCCACGTGTACGATATACGATGAGTGATGAAACGCTTGTTTTCACGGATCAGCTTCAACACATGTCAGGGCTCCAGATTCGAGAGGATTTGATTAAAGGTAGGTAGTGGCAGTATCCTCCTCTCCAAATTCAAGAGTAAATGTACGTAGCTATTCCGCTCTAGATTGTGGAATTAGATTAAACAAAAGTTTTAGTAATGGATTGATGTATAAGAAAAGTTTCGAAATGGGATTGGAATCAAAAGTTTCAACCTCAACATCACATTATGTATAGTGAACTAAATTACAGGTCATAGTTCCTAAGGCTTAGGTATAACTATCCATAAGCTTGATCTACTGATTAGAGGAAGTGCAGACATCCACCACCACAACTATAGATATGTCGGGCTCTTTCAACTCTGATTGGTGTACTCAGCGGCATCATGTCTTGAATTTTGGGCCCTTAGCCCTGCAACCCGGCACGTTAAACTAAGGCCTCGTCTAACCAAAAAAAAAATTCATAGAAAAACATAGGAACTGATACATATCTTATTTTTTTCAAAGAATATTCGTAAACTACATGCATAAAACACCGATCTCCGTCTGACACATGTTGTCGCGGGGAAGTAGCTGAACCAATTCCAAGGAAATTTGGAATAAGAAATCGGATGGACCCCAGAGATCGAGTTTAAATCAATAAGCAGCCTGACGAACGGTTAGCATTTGTCACCCATTTAAATTATATCCTCGAATTAGGTGCAAAATACGAGTTACTGTGCTGCAGCTCACAACAGTAGAAAGATGTGACCCCCATTTATGGCATTTTTACTTTTCAAATCCGGCGTTTCAGGGTAACTTTGCTAGTTAATAATTCTGAAAACTAACAATAAAAATTCAAGACAAAGCGTGGGTAAATATAAATAGCGTTTTTGGTATTCATACTGAGAACTAAGGAAATTATTTTAAACAACTAAATAGCCACATACATGAAGAGGTCAATAAACGTTAAACTTAATCAAACGATCATAATAAAAACTACAGCCACCAATACCTGGTCATCTGTCAGGGGAATTACTTTTAGTAAAACTTAATCACCATCTGAGCTAGCTAGTGGAAGGGCATCGTTACTTGCGTAACAGGATTCCAGATTTCGGAAAAAAGAAAAGAAAGGTTCTTGTTACTTACTAATTAAAAGGTGTTAGCGAAGACCTGAAGAATACAAAATAACGATACGAAGACTTAGGTGTAGAGATACTAAGATTACGGGTATAACGGTAGTTGATATTTTGAGAGCTTATAAAAGGTGTTTAAAACAAGAAAACTGAGATAGTTAGTATCTGTTCATTAATTGGTTTACAACTTTCTCAAGTATGACTAAACATCACAAATTGTAAAACATTTACAATCATGAAAATTACTACCATTAATATATAATTTAATAACTATATATATGATAAACTTTTAGTGTATATATATATATATATATATGATATCTTTTAGTATATATATATATATATATATATATGATAAACTTTTATTGTATATATATATATATATCTTATCAATGTCATTTAATGGACTTTTGTTTTCGCAGAATACCTGACGTTTATTTGTTGAATAATAATTTTGTTCCTACTGACTTCACGTCTAAAAAGTTTAGTTTATAACTAAAACATAGACTATAATAATGAACTTAGATTATAAACACTAGAGAAATATTTTAGTACGTGCATATACTTAATACCCAATACCGGTATTTACTGGATTTTTATGAAAATAAAATTTCGGATCCTATTGATGAATAGATGGTATCCAGTCTAACACTCAAAATGACATCGCAACAAGGTTTAACTATAAGGTTTAGTTACACTATGCACTTCAGACGTTTATAACACATTTCAGTTTGTGGATTTCATGAAAACG